ACCCTCCACCACCAAGAACGACGCGTCGTCGCGCTCCCTTTGGCATCTGCCGCCTGCGCCTCGCCAACCCGGCCCTGCCCGATGCCGACGATGGCCTGCTCTACCTCGTCGACCTCGCCGGCTCCGAGGCCGCCCGTGACGTAGCCACCCACGGCGCCAACCGCATGCGCGAGACGCGCGAGATCAATGTCAGCCTGTCCGTCCTCAAGGACTGCATCCGCGGCCGCGCCGCTGCCGACCACGTCACTGCCGCCGCCGCCGCCGCCGGCCAGAAAAAGACAAAGCCGCCCTACGTGCCCTTTCGCCAGAGCGCCCTGACCAAGGTCCTTCAAGCACGTCTTTGACCCTGCCGCCTCGCGCGCCTGCCGCACTGTCGTCGTCGCCTGCGTCAACCCCTGCCTCGCCGACGTCGGCGCCAGCAAGAACACGCTGCGCTACGCCGAGATGCTGCGGGTCGTCGCGCCTGCGGCCCCGGCTGTGCCGTTTGATGCTGGCAAGCCGGCACGTGGTCGAACGAGCAGCTTCGGGCGTGGGTCGGGCAGAATGTGAGTCCTTCTCTTGGTTTCTTGTTACTGTCCTTAATCTCTCGTCCTCCAGGTCCTAGCCTCAGGTCCGAGCCCAGGCCGGAGCCAGGTCGGGAGATGCACGCCATGAATGCCAATGGGCGCTGCCCCGTACCCGTACATGCACTGACAACACAAGTCCGGCACACCACCCGTCGTCCCGCAGCTCCTCGCCCCCTCCGAGTCGGGCGCGCAGCTCCTCCGCCTGCCCGTCCCCGAGTTCCTCACGCGCTGCCTCCGCAGCCCCGGCGTGACCGACGACCAGGCCCGCGCCTTCCAGGCCAAGTTCTGGCGCCTCCACGTCGACTCGCAGCGCGCCACGGCCGCACCCGTTAATACCAAGGCCGCCGCGGCCCCTGAAAAGATGGGCATGTCGAGCGCCGACCCGCGACCCGACATGGCGGGCGTGCCGTTCACCGAGCGCATACGCCCCGGCCTCGTCGTCGCGTTTGATCCCCCCGCCGACATGCCCATGCCGCTGCCGGGGCGCAACCTCGCCGTCGTGCTGGGCGCCGACGAGGGGCAGGCGCAGGGCCGGTACACCTGCGCCCGGGTGACGCCTGGGTTCATGCCCAACGCGTTCGAGGTCAATTTGTGGCGGCAGGTTGTCGTGCCCGTCGAGCGCATGGTGGCCGAGGTGCTGCTCGAGTATGATGTGGCGACGCGGTATTACTATGAAACGCTGTAGACGTGGGTGGCCTTCATGCGACGAGCAACGCATACGTGCCGCTGTGAAGTTGGGGAAAGCAAATTGCGATGAAAAACCCGGTTGATGCCTGGCTCAGAGTTGCTGACTATCGTCACTTTTTCTTAACATCAGAGGTATAATAACTGAGAAATCACAAGTGCCTTCCCCCCCCCCCTCTCTTTTCCCGATCGAAATAAAGACATTGACGACTTGTCGAAACCGTTTTCGTTGCTTGAAACCCGAAACACCATGACTCCGGGCCCCTGACCATGTCCTTGCCTTCCTTCTATGAGCCATGCCGGCACCAACGACGCCACGCCGCTGCCCGCTTTCATAACGCGTCTTGTTCGTGATGCTTGTCTACTACATGTGGAAAAAGAACTGCACGCACGCATGGCTGCATGCTCAAGTCGCCTGCATGGAAGCGTGCAAAAAGAGAGAAGAAAAAAAAAAAAAAAAGAACCAAATCACTCGACCAGCTGCCTGCTCTTAGCCGCCACCCCCTGGCGCCCAGACTCGTCGATGCGGCGACCGTTGGTCAGCCGGCGCCGTTTCCGGCTGTTCGAGGACGTCTGTGCGTGCTCCTCGTCGGAGGAGGAGTCGCTGCCGCCTCCGCCGCTGCTGCTGCCACCGTCCCAGATCGACGCGATGAGCGCCTTGGCTCTGGCCTCGTACGCCAGTCCCGCCTCGTCACGCTGCTCGTCGCTGGGTCTGCGGGCACGACCGCCGTCTTCGTCGTCGGCGGGCGCCGCGCGCTTGTTCGGGTTGCTGTTGCTATTGGTGTTGTTGCTGCTGCTGCTGCTGCTGCCGCTGCTGTTCTCGCTCGGCCTCTTCTGCGACCCGAGCATGTCGAGGTCGTTCTCGTCAAAGTCGCCAATGAGGTCTCGGCCCAGCGCTTTGCCGAGGCGCTCCTTGAGGCCGACGACGGGCCAGATGGGGACTTTTGTGTACTCGATCTTCATGCCGAGGTCGGTGAGCGTTGCCTCGCCCAGGGCATTCTTGCCGGCGGGCGTCTTGTTTGGGGCGTGGAAACCGCTCGAGGAAAGGCGGCGGTGACGACCGCCCGTGTAGACAATGAGCTCGTTGCCGTCGTCGTCGTTTGTCATGAGGTGAACCGTCACGTCGTGAAAGGCGGGGGCCGGCTGCGGCTTGGGCGCGTGGCGCCGGGGCGTTGCCGCGAGCGGCCAATGGCCGGAGGGCGCGTTGGTGGAAAAAAGCCCTTCTGGGCCATGGGGAGGAAGGTGCCGGCGAAAGGCCGGGT